TCCACGATTCTAATTAAAGTTTTATCTCACTCTTACTGTTGAATGCATTATTCAGACTGTTAAATTTGTAAATGCGATCAGGGAGTGATTAGCGACACTGGCTCTTATCTTAAACAGAGTGAAGTGATGCTGTTGCTTCAGATGAATAAAGATGCACCTGGCAAAAAAGCAGCATGTGATTGCATGCAGATGTGACGTAAATCATTCAAACACGAGCAAACTGAACACTGGAGCAGGTCTAGCTCACTGAAGGTGAAGGGGCTTGTATCATTTTAGATTTGATCATTTAATCAGCTTTGCACAGTTAGACAGCAGCTACCATCTCCCATCTACCTCCTTCTACAGTGTGTTTTATCAGGTGGACTCTCTGTTCAGTCATATTTATGTTAAGTCTTCTAATAAATAATCACATGCTGATGAGTGGATATAAATGTTCAGACCATTTGATGCACAAGCTGTCTGCTGTGTCGAAAGTTTGCTGAGCCAAAACTTTTCAGTGCCACTTTCTAATAATACACATTAACAATACTGCTCTTAAAACCCATCTGTTTAAATGAGTTTACTCACTTTAACTGCAACAACTGCATCTTGTTTTAATTGACTTTATTAATTGCTGAACTAAGTTCTGTAGCTTACTGCATGTTTTAATGCTGATTTTATGTGATGTAAGGTGACTTAGAGAGCCATGAAAAGGATCATCAAATGACATATAACTATTTTTTAATAAACAGTTATGCAGGTTAAAAGCCAAGAAGTAACAGAGAAGTAAATTACAAGTTTCGTAATGATACAATAATATATAAAATATTAAAACAACAACAAAATATTTGCTGATATCACAAAATCTGCGCCAGTGTGACTTTAATTTCATTTAATTCTGGGGCCTGCGAACAATATGAAACAATATCAGTAAATATCCTCACTGTCTTTTCTTGGCTGCTTACCATCGTCGGCCTGGCACTAGGCCACTAGCACTGTTTAAATGTATAGGAAGGAGTTGTGCTTGGATGGAAATGGTCACACGTATGTGCCGTGGGAAATTTCAAGATAACGGCGTACCTTAAAGATAATGAAAAGTTTTGCTAATATTGGATCACTGATCACTGAATCAATATATCAGTCCAGATCGATGTATTGTTACTCCCCTATTAAAGGCCTAGTGTGTAGGATTTAAGGACATCTTCTGGCAGAAATTGTATATAATATTCATAAATATGTTTTCATGAGCTAATGAAAACCTGAAAATAAGAATCTTTGTGATTTTGTTACCTTAGAATGAGCCGTTTATATCTATATACAGAGCAGGTCCTCTTCCACAGATTCCACCATGTTGTTCTACAGTAGTCCAGAAAGGACAAATAAAACACTGGCTCCATATAGAGCCATTTGCATTTTTGAGTCAGCCACCGTAGTTCTCCTACAGGCTTGGCACATGAGAGTAGTTTCAGTTGGTTGCAATCTGCAACTTCACCACTAGATGTCACTAAATCCTACACACTAGACCTTTAAGTACAACGTTTTTGTTGCCAGGTTGTGAAAATCATTTTTGAACCATCCCTTTGCAAGCATAAAGGGTCACAGTTTTTTCACCATTGATATAATTAACCATGGTAGATGTTTATACATTTTATTAAATGGATAAGATGCAGATGGCCACTTCCAGAAGACTTCAAATGGTCCATTGGATGGATCTTCCTGACAACCTAAGGAGCTGAAAAGGATAAACACCAGCCACAGGGAGTTCTCACAACACTGTCAACCTAAAAACTGTTGTTAATGCTTTATAACTGATCTTTAATGCATTAGAAAATTATTAATTTACCATATATAAAGTCATTAGTTACAAATCCTTTTTAGAGTGTGGAAACAACTTCTCAAAAGATTTATGTTGAAAAGTGTAGTTACTCTCACGTTGTTGTCACTGACTGTCCAGGTGGTGCGAACTCAAAAATATTTGTACTTCAGTAAGGAAATCGGGGGGTATTGGCATAATCAAACGGACGGGTGTGACCTGACAAACCCACTCAAATCTTCTCAACATCAGAGGACAGACATGGTCTCCAGACTGTAATTTTTTCACCACACTTACACACAGGACGTAATAATGTATCATTTATTAAAGACATGACAGGTTTCAGCTATGACACAGCTGAGGGAGACACAGTTATCCGACTCCAGTGAAATATGTAAATAGGATTGTTTCTCATCCTGTGGAGCTCAATTAGGATTGTTGAGGAATTACTAGACAGCATGTAAAAAAACAAAAATCTTAATACTCGTCTGCTGAGGCGTCATTCAGGGCCATTTGGGAGAGATTAGCATCAAAGTTTTATTTTAGAAGTTTATCTGTCAGAGAGATTGTCTATCACTGTGTTTTCCAAATTTCCCTTTCAGCACTCATGCTCTTTCATGTAGATGTAGATTTGGGGATTTTGTCTATTCTTGTGTATACTCCAGGATTAACTTGTCAAAAAGTACATCTCAGAGGGCTCAGTTATGGTGTGTTTTCCACAGCACAGTGCCAGAGCGTCTCTGTCTGTCCTCTTTTGTCTGTCTGTGCACCTCACGCTGTGATGAAAGACTTTTTGTGTCTGTTATCTGACACTGCAGTGATTTATGAACAATAAAAGACACAGGGTGAAACTCAAAATAAAAGAGGGAAAACTCCAGTGAATAACTGCAACGATCACGCTGTCCTGCGATAGTATGGGATGAGTGATTGAGTTTAATACCGCACTATGGAATCATTACCACCCAGCGCAGATTATAGTGACGACGATGATGAACGCATCAAGATTGTATCAAATCAAATCAAATGGCAAAAGAGGGATTATGTGCAAATGTGTGTGTTCATCACAGACGTGTCTTTATCCATATGTGTGTCTGACTGTGAGTACACATTTTTATTACATAACCGATCTGCATGCATATGGGTCAGAGGCAGTTGATCAGCATAATGATGGTGACAGCATGAAAACACGAAGAGGATTTAAACTAGAGGAGGGAGAGAGGGAGGTGAAGTGTTGTTGTTATTGTGGTCTTTGCTGAGCTGTGTGTGTGTGACTGTGAGATGATAGCGTGTGAGGCTGCTTTACTGTATGTGTTGGTCAGATATAATTCGAAAATGTTTTTAACGATAAGGTGATAAAATTATAATGAGATTACAGTTACAAGAGCTGTATGATGTGTGGGCTTCTGGGTGTGAGTGTAAAGTGATGAAGTGAAAACACCTTATTTTGTCATTTAAGGTTTATTCGCTCTGTTTGCCAGTAAATCAACTAAACCAGAAATACAACCAGGAAGATAATGCCTTCTTCGATTTTCTTTATTTATTAGGGCCAGTTTGTTTCAACCCTGTGGAACAGGTAAGGATTATATATCCTGCTCAAGGACACTTGAGCATGTGAGGACTCGTAGCGAACTGATCCCGGCCTCCTCGGATGGACTGACTAACCACTCTTATTCTGCTGCCCACACACTTAAGTACATTAGGTGTAAATTAAAAGCAGATTCACACCACTCCAAAGCAAAAATGTGGTGAAGTATGGAGGCATGTAAATGTGCCACATGACAACTATGCACACCGCGTCCGGTGCCAGTTATTCATGTTGCTGTGCTCTGTTCTCATCAAGAGAAAAAAGTTTGCTCCTAAACAGTGCCTGTGTCCACTCCATACAGCAAAAACCTATTCAGACAGAGAATATAATCCCAAAAGCAAACACCCATGGCTCCGCAGTCCTGTTTCTCTGAAAAATATACTCTCCATGCAGTTACAAAGATTAATAGTCTGCAACTACACCAGTCAGTAATTCACCAACCTTATCACTCTGCTGCACTGAACATCAGACCTGTGGTCCGACAAACGATCACCCGTCCATGAAGAAATATGAGTGGCTTGTTCTTCCCTGGGGCTTAAGCCTTCACTACCAATGCACTAACACTGCTGCATGGAATAGTGCATAATGCTAACCAGGGAAGAGGGACTGTTTAATAAAGGTATGACAGACTAGCACCAAGCAGTCAGATGTCATTATTCTGCGTAATAGTAGCCATATGCTTCTGTTTGTTTGAGACCGTGCCTAACATATAATATGAGCACTGCATATCAGCTACATTAGCATCTTAATCGTGTCCTCGATGAAACAGAAATCAAACTGATAAGACATTCCCCATTTTGGCAGCAAACAAGCTTTAAAAGGTAAAAACCCATAACATCTTTATTTATAAATCTTCTGTGCAAATTTCATTTCATTTCATCCTCATTTTCTCATGGTGGGTGAAACTGAAGAAAAAACTTGGGGAGAATAATAAATCACAGTTTTCAAAAAATAATGATTATCCTTAAATGAGTACGAGCAGACTTAAAGCTGTTAGACACATAACTGTTTTGTTTTGGGCTCAACACTAAGTATGACAGCTGCACAATATGAGGACAATATGCGATATGCTATAACACTGTTGAATATCACAATACTGATATCAATTTGCATAATTAAACAGATATTAAAGTGTACAGCTCTTGACTTGGACTTGCACAATACCAGTGCTTGTGCAACGTCATCTCTGCCATAACCAGACAATTGACATGCTCTTTTTTAGACACCAGTTCATCACTGGTATGCACACTTTTGCCTGCACTCATCTTGTCATAGTAATGAACAGCAATAAGTAATACAGCAGCACTAGTGTTATAAACCTCACTTGCATGCATGCAGATTCTGACCAATCAGACAATGGCTAAAGGCGAGGGCTCTGTCAGATTGGCCAGAGAGTTACAGTATGGCACGTACCAGACAAAATAGCTCCCACAGACAGAATGTAATTTAATGTGTTGTTATTATATTCAAATTCCACGTTGCATTCTTTTGCGACGTGTTATTCACGCTAGGTGACAACGCAATGACAGTAAAATATATTGTGCAGCCCTACTGAGTATCCTTTATATTGTCATGCTGTGCTGTATGTCACCGTGTGTGTGTGTACTTGTGCCCCCGACTCACCGGTGATGACCAAAGTGTGTGTGACTCCCGCCTCGTTGAGCATTCTCTGAATGTGGTTGTTGTAGAGTGTGAGCGCGTGTCCTTTCCCGCTCTGTGGGTTCACCAGCAGCATCATCCGGCTTGGACGAGACAACTCGCTCATCAACACCCCTACAGAGGACAGACAAGACATGGTCACATCTCCACAACACTGCACCATATTTTTTAAATCAAAGCTGGGTTATTGTTTGACACCGCAACCTGTAAAGTCTTGTTTGTTTGTTTTTCAGACCACATGGAGTGGCGGCACAGTGAGCGGACAGACTATCCTCACAGTGTGAATCTAACAACAGCCTGATGTTCAGCTTTGGAAACCTTAACCTCAAACTGATATTTCCAGCCCTGTTTAAGAAATCTGTTTTTTTAAAGACAGACACAGACAACCAGGTTTTTTAAGTGCATTCGACTGAGTGTAGGTTGGGTAAGTAACCTAAGAGCCATAGCAAGGAACATTTCTACAATGGAGGGGAGCAGGAAGGACACATGGGGATGTGTACTGGGAGATCACACACAAATTGCACCCTTATCTCTCCTAACAGGCTTTGGCAACGCTACTGTAAAGTAAATTCTACAAAAGGACAGAACCACCACAGTGAAAGACTGAGCCAGGGAGGAAGCAGGAAACAGTGATGGCAAAATGTTTATACTGTTTGTATGTTCAGCATATATATAGTTTGTTACCTCTTGTGATAATGTGAATTAATGACTGTTGATAAAAATCTGTTGATAAAAACTGTTTCCATATTTAATGGGACTTCTAACATATAGAAGGTTCAAAAACTTCTGTGTTTTGTTTAATGTATTCAATTATGTGTCCCCTGATCCTCTGTGTTATTTTTTATTTTCAGTTTATCTTCTTTTTTTTTGCCAATTTTGCAGCACATTTGCCAGAATAAAATGTTGTCATTGTACGTTTATTTAAACCATGGATACATTACATTTGCACACCTCATCATTTATACCAATTAAACATTTTCACATCTAAAGTGGCGTCGTATATGACCTGACTCTGTCATCAGGAGGTGGAAGGGATGGTGGATGGTGTGACACCTTGGCGAGACTGCTGCCAAGCAGCAGCCCACTGTAAAAAACCAAAACACAACAAAACCAGATGTCTTTAATGGGGGTGGGGGAAAAATCGATACAGCATAGTATCGCGATATTTTGCATTGCAATGTTATATTAATACAAGAATGCCAAGTATAAATCTTTTATTATATACATTATTCATTTTTGCAAATACACATTTTAATACCACTTTCGGTATTGAAATAACAAAATAGCTTGCTTTTTCGGTCCACTAGATGGTGCTGATGTTTTTCCTGCTGAGGTCAGCAGAGGTCTCAGTCAGTGGCATCTGGCAGGAAGTTCATAAAAACAAAGATGGAGGCAGTGGAGAAAAATCAGAAATGCGCCATCAGCGTTTAAATCAAACATCTGGACTTATTTAGGACTTGGACATAACTTACGCGATCTGCAAGCAGTGTCATATGAGGATAATCTGGGAATACTACGAGCATGAGGGCTCACCTCACTCTCCACCATCCAGAGATAGCTTTAGCCGCTGACGGCCAAGCGAATACTAAACCCACTTGAAAAATCAACCAACACTGGACACACTTAGCTTGAAAAAAATACCATCCAACTCTGAGAGGGCTAAGTAAATAACACAGTCCATCACCGTCCCAATGTTTTTTCACCAACACAGCCGTTCCCAAGTGCTACAGAGAAGTGATGCATAAAGTTGAGGAATCTTTGAGTACAGCAGGAAGGGTGGTATAAACTCATGACGCCTGGACTTCAAGCTCAGTGGATTCATATGTGACTTTAACGGCACATTATCTCACAGAGGACTGGAGACTGCTGTCTCACATTCTCCAAACTAGAGCAGTATACCAAGTCACACCGGAGCAAGCATTGCAGACCTCCTGCAAAATGCAGCACAAGAATGTAACAGACGACGCTTTCAGTTAGCAGGATATCTGCATGTGAAGTGTTTGGCTCATGCATTTAATCTGGCCTTGCAGAGGGCGTCAAATCTGTCAGCTATTCAGCTTGTCAGGTGTATGCAGCATTTCTGACAGGTTTTATGATAATGCTGGTCAGTCTGTCTGCTTTGCATCACATTTTGCTGCAGTAAAAATGATTCAAGTCAGATGAACAGAGTGAAAACTTTGTCTTATGAGGTAAAATTGATGTTGACAAAGTTGTCCTTTGGGGAAATAAATAGCAGTTTGGAAAAAGGGTAATAAATTGCAATATATCACAATATATTGTATATTACAATATTGCCATAATATCATGTTGTGACCTAAGTATCATGAGACCTCTGGCGATTCCCACCGTCTTTAAGCGAGCCATTGCTGTGTTTCCTTCTTTTTAGGCACCAAATGTGGGCAATTTTTTAGGGACCCCTACTTCTTTTTCCAGCAGGAATAGCGACGTGAAAAGCAGCTGTTTTTTTCAGAGACATCACTGCTTTTCCAGTGAGGATTGTGCCACCAAAACCGGGTATTTTAAGCCAAAACATGATCTTTTCCTAACCATAACCGAGTGGTTTTGGTGCCTAAAACTGACATGTTAACTGACACGTTAAGCAAAGCTCTGCTGAAACATAAAGTTTCAATGCATCTGCAATAGTAATGTGTGAGTGCTACATATCTGTGGTTTGCAGAAACATACAATGCCAACATCTTTTCTGGTGATTGGGTTGTTATGTGACAGTCAGAGGGAGGAGGCAGGATATGACAGGCCATGGGCTGTCTTTAGTTAATCATATTCACTGTTGTAATAACCCAGGTGCAGTTTTGTCTCATCATTAGACAAACATAGACTTGACAGGAGATTTGCAGATACAAGCAAAAACAAAGGTCAGTTAGACACCATCCAACGCACACGCTACACACACAAAACTAATCCTACACTACTTGCATCCAAAGATGGAGGAGTACAAGAGTACAAAAGAAGCAGCCTCTTTGGTAAATCTTTTAACTGCAGGGTTGATGCAAATCAGTGTTAAAAGTATCATGGGGATCAAACAGATTTCAGAGGGCAACACTGATCTTACACACATCACAGATCCCAGATCTTTTTAAAACATTCTGAAGATTACAGTCTCTCAGAGGCACAGCATGGGGCTAAAGAAAGGAGGAACTGGAAGAAGCTGGTTTTGGCCTTTTCTCCCTCACTGCCTGAGAAGGATTAATTAAAAACTGCAAGCATAAGACTGTGCCTTGCCAAAATATAAGATCATTATTCAATATCTGAGAAGAGATGGGGAGAACTAAACAGAAATATAGATGTGATGGTAGTCAGAGTATGATGATAAAACTGCTCATGTTAAAGAGGAGCTGGTAGTTTGAGAGAGAGGTGATAAGGAGGATGAGGGAGTTGTATCTCAAATTTGAAGCAAACTACTTGACAATTTTCTCTCCTTTTCCCCCTCTCCCTTAAAATATGTTTTTGTGACATCTCAGCTGGGAGAGAATTCAAAGAAAAGGAGAGAGAAGTGTGACGGGAAGCCATCAGCCACATTTGACACGCTGCAGCTGTGGGATAACTTCACAGGTAGGTACAGAGAGTCCTCTCCATCGTAGCAACGGCACGCTCTAGTAAGACTGTTTTCTATGTCACGCCTTGTCAACACACACACACAAAACAAACCGTTTTCGGTGAAGCAGCCCAAGAGGCAGAAACCCTGCAGTGACATTCCTCTCACTTTGTTTTGCAGTCTGCTGGAATTTTTTTTTTTTTAAAGATCAAAACATTGTGAGCGTGGAGGGAGTCCAACCATCCAAACAAGTCTGACAGCTGATGAATGAGTAACAATGGGCGGGAGCAAGTGGAGTGCAGGAATTGGCACATCTAACTAGTTTCAAAAGCTAATCGGCAGGTTTCCTTTAAGCCTAATGTTCTTAACTTCCAGCGTAGAGACCAATGATCCCTGCATCTTGGAATGCAGGGAAACAGGTCACAAAAATGTCACCTCACCTTTTTGTTCACCTTTGTACCTGGAGTTTGACCTGAGTCAGTCATCAGTCTTCCATCAAGGCAGGAAGGTAGGCAGGTAATGCTATAAATACTTTTTTAAAGGCTAACATCTGTTATTTTTAACCTGGACACTATTTTCACATGTTTTTGTGTCTAAGTGACTGATGGGGACAACAATTCAGTAATTATAGTACTGAGCTAGACAAGTGGCAAAACAGGCTGCTATGTAACCACTTAGAGCATGTTCACACAGTCAGTTTAGGTTTACGAAGAGTACTTGGTTTTGCCACTGACAGGCTCTGCTTGTTATTATAAGTGTCTGACAACCTATAGAAAGGATCTCTACAGATATAGGCCTTTTTTATTTGAGAGTGAGATCCTTTTTATTTAGCCAGAAACAACCCCAAAATCACTATTGCCAAACCCACCAGACTCCATTGAAATAAACAGTAATTTTATCATCATAAAACACACTTAATTCAAAGTCAATAAAAAGAAAATAAAGCTCACAAAAGCCATCTTGGTTCATCTTTTCACTGCTCCAATAATCACTAACTCTGGTTTGGTTAATTCACCCAGTGAAAATGTGCTAGCTGTATACACACTTACATTACTGTTTATTTAAATGGAGTCTGGTGGGTTTGGCCATGGCTGTTTCTGGTTAAACGAAAAGGAGCTTACTCTTTAACAAAAAGGTCAACCTCTGCGGGGAT